AGCAAATCCTCCCAACCAAACAGAATCCTCTTTAACAAACGGAAAGTTCACTTTAATCGTAGAAGAAACAGCAGTGTAAAGATATTCTCGCGTCAAGCAGACTTTCAGCGAACACGTAACGATCAAGTGCACGGATAGAAAATAATATTTATGAACGTAGACAATAAGTATGTAAATTTACATTAAGATTCATTAATCATCCCTGTTGAGAATTCCGTCTCCATTTATCTTACTTTAAATACACAATTCAGGTAGAAAACATTCTTCCCCATCTTGAACGGATAATAAAAATAGTAATAGAGGGACGAGAGGCGACCCTGCAAAACTCCAATCACAGAGGCAGACTAACAATAGTTTTTTGTACCTCCCTTTAAACAGACCCTTAGTCTATATCCGCCCATTTTCAAAAAGAAAATGAGATCCCTATTCAAGGGACCGTATACCTGATGGGATTTAAAAGCTAAGCTAAGCCTATAGCAGTTTAGCAAATAGAAAATGGGCATACCTCTTTGGATTTATTTCAGCTTATATTCTTTAAAATTCTTTTACATCGTAAAAAATGTATAAGCTAAAATAAATACAGATACAAGTTTTTGTTGAAGAACATAAAGGAAAAAAGACCTACATTAGAAATTTACAAAAAAAAATCCAAAAGAAGATCTAACACAAAAATAATCTTAAAATACACTCTGGAATGCCATAATTATAGACCATAAATCAGTCAGATTTCAAAAACGTGTTTTTATATTTTTGCTGCTCGATTCTTTTGTTAAATGTAGGTATATTTTTTCTTTTCTTTAGACAAAATTGCACTACGACAATTTACTAGCTGCTGAGTCATTAGACTTTCTTTTTTCCCGTTATATATATATATATATATATCTCATATTTTATTTTTGCAATTACAAAGATCCTTTGTATTTTCGAGAGGAAAAAAATTTCAACATATAATTAAGTTTTTAAGTTGCCTCGGCTATCCCCATTCATCCATTGAAAGAAGAATTGAAGAAGTCCTTAGAAGACAAAAACGTCGAGGTCGAGCAATCGATACAGATCGTAAACCGGCCGTTCAAGCTTGCGCTATTTAGAATTCGCTCGGACGCGATTTTATACGCTAACTAAGGGCAGAGTCGAAAGTACAGATACCGAAAATATATTTCTATCGTTGTACTTTTCCATTCGCGCGCGCGTCTCGGCCTGTCGATTATCGACATGGTTCAATATTTAGTCGAACAACATCGATGTGGCACAGCGCCGACAAACAATAAACATTTAATGCTTTTTAGGTATGCTTTATAGCGAACGAACAATATTGCCACACTTGTATGAATAATTTATGCTCCTACATACCCGGTGCCCGAGTTCGGTCAACACGACGCTCGCATAACCATGTTTCCGGCTCCGTATCAATTTTGCTGCGACACGGCAGGAAGACAATTAAGATAGCGCGCCGTTAGATAACAACTATATATGTTCCCTTTTCGGATTCAAGCGTCCGCGTTCAGCTTCCTCGTGTGCCATTGCTCGAATGGCAAAAAAAAAAAATAAAAAAATAATAATATGTGTGTCGATTCTCTCGATATCGGGGGTGCGAATTTAAATAAATTCGCGCACGCGATTTGGTACCGAGATGGATTAGATTACCGCGCTGCGCCGCAAATTTGCAACTCGCGCCGAGTAAGCGAATAGCAATGTTTGCGTTACCAAAATTAAAGTTTTATTTGCCGCGGGCGGAGGAATGATTTCGCCGAACGGGGACAAATCAGAATTGCGATTCTCTACGGAATACGAGAATCGGAGATATCTCCACCGATTGTTTTCTCTTATCTAAACTCTTCTGCACGTTTCGAAAGACGTGAAATTTTGAATGGAGAAAGTTAGACGATAAATATTTCGTATTCTCCGACCGATATTTAATGTCAAAGGTAGAAACGCGAACGAAATTCCCACGTGTATAAAAATGTTGCTCGATACAACACGAGCAAAAGTAATGTTAAAATAAAAGGAGCGAAATTATTTTAAGATAACTGCATATTCCTTTTTCTTTTTCTTCTCGAAGATAACACGCTTCTCCTTTTTTTAACGATCAGCACTAACTTTCAGCGATAACTTTTCGATCGTGTCGCCGCTTTTTCCAAGTACTGTTTCACAGAAACATAAGCGCAAGCACGAGGATAGCAATAAAGCTTTACGACCACGCGTAACGAAGAAACTCGTCGGCTTTGGAGTGAAAAAAAATTGCAGAAGAGAGAAAAGAAGCGAAAAAAAGGGGGATGTTAGTGCAACGTCGAAGCGATTATCGTAACGCGCTGTTTTATCCCACTTATAACACGAAGAGGATGAAAGTTGGACGTGAGAACCTGTAACGAGCCGCTACGTTCTAAGGATGTGGAAATGACTGCTTCTTCACGACGCAAAGAAACGCACTAATTGCCGACAGAGACCCATTCAGCTAGCGTCCAAGCAAGCCATTATCGTTAATTTAAATATCCGCAAAGTTCGTTTATAAGCCGTCTGGATGTTGGAAAGAAGCTTTTTACGGAACATTAAGGGTTGAATTTTACTAATATCCGGTTAACTTTAGTTAGTCTTTGTTCACTCACACACATATATTATTATTTATTATTATATATTATTCTTTATCGAATATCAAAAGAAGTACAAAATGTTTAATTTTAAAATTACAAAAATAATTTCTTGTCTCTAATCTATCCAATTATTTTCTCAAGTATTATTACTCAATACAGTTATTATCTTTTTAATTTTAATTCTAAACTTTATTCATAAATTTTGCTCCTTAATTTTAAACTTTTTAAAACCATGTAATAAAAAGTTTTTTTAATTTTCATAGGTCGGCGATTTTACTGAACGCTTTTACAACGAAAAATTCATTTAAGTTGAAATTCATTTCAAAATAAATAACCATATTTTTTTCAGATGCCTAAGAATATTAATAACTTCAAAGACACGCGCAATCAAGATATGTATTTTTGATACGTGGTAATATATAGCTACACACTGAAGATGAGAGATCCAAGCGACCGCAAATTGCCACCATCTAATTGACTGTCTCCGTTCTCCGAACCGCTTATTCGTGTGAGGATTGAATCGTACGGTGATTGAAAACAATCGAGGGTTATATGTCGTTCAAAGAAATACGTCGCGAAGCCGTACGACCGGAAAGAAACCCGGTTGCTTCAAAGGAAGACACCAAAGAGACACCTTCTTGACCTTCTCCCAATTATCGCAAACGCAATTTGATCCTCCTCGTCAATCCGAGAAGCGGCACTTGTAAAAATCGTTAGATATCCCCCTCGTTAATTACATAACCGTCGAGCAATTGAGAGACGCAGAGAAAAATTATGAAGCAAAAATTTTAAAACTCATATCTTATTTTTTAAAATGTAGCGTATTATAAATTTCAACTTAATTTAAAAATGTAATCTCCATAAAAGTAAATAAATTCTGAATTATGCAAATTAATCTTTCATGGATGACGAAATGACAGTCGTCAATTAATTTCCTAATAGGTCAGTGAGCTTTAAGGTTTTCTTTCTCGCGTTTCGAATTAATTGGCCAGTTTTCCAGCATACACAGTTAGTTCATCAAACAAGTCAACTCGAATAATCAGAATTTACGTCGCGATTGATCATTATTTTTTTTTCGTTTGACAAAACTTTCGTAATTAAAAAATTGAAGTGCAATTTGCAATATAGCGATTTCAAATATCTGTCCCACAGACACGACGCCTCGTCTTCGTGTCGCCGCTTTGTCGGAGATAATAGTTAATACCGCGTTTTTGGCACATGTGTCGTCCGAAAAGAGAGAGAAAGAAAGGAGAGAGAAGAGCAGGACCAACAGAGAGAAAAATTGCGGCGTCTGGTTGTCGAACGTGAATTTACCGCATCGCGGTAAGCAGGATAGAATGGCTGTAGTTGGGTAGAAAGATAAATTATTCCGCGGTGCGAAGAAAGGAAAAAGCGTGTGAAGGCAAGGGACGACCGATCCACCAGCATGAATAAATCTAAGGCCGATTCGCTGATCGTCGATTCCAACGAGACGAGCGAATGCGCGAAAAATATGCAGCGTGTTTGCCGCCATCAACACGCGCGCACACAACTCGATAAATCAAAGATTATTTATTAAAGACAGAGGAAAAAAATACTTTCAAATAAATCGAGAAAATTACAGCAAAATTGCTTCCTTCTACTTAATTAACTTTTATTAATTATCTCTATTATAGAAGACGTTCGTAATAATTTGAATTGAAACCGATACTTTGCATTTTTTTTTTCATCAACGCTGCAAAAAAAAAAATAACGAACATTCCGTTAATTAAAAATAAATCGGACACGTTGAAAAACATTGTTTTATACGAGGCTTCTCTCTCGAATCAAATAACACTTTTTGACATTTCAAAGGGATCCAGCGGTTAATAAAACAACGAAATACATACTTCCAAAAAAAAGTGAATACACGCGTGGTCCATTAATCCCACTAATGAAACTTGTATCGCGGCGACGCAGAAAGCAATAACTGTCAATGCGTGTGTAAAAGGATGACAGCGAAAAAAGGGGGCGTGGAAGGAAATAGGACTGAATCGATCGAAGAGTAGCCGAGGGTGGGATTTATTACGTTCTCCCATTCCGCGCTTCCAGAACAATCAAGCAGACGCCACAAAGGAGGTCGTCGCGACGGACTTAATTCAAGGATAATTGATCAAGAAGCAGAGTCAGACGCGCTCGCGGTAGACCGAACGGCGGACCGAAGTTTCGATTTTGATTAAAACGTGCATATTTTATATTCAATTAATCAAGGCAGTCTCTCTCTCTTTCTCTCTGGCTTGATACATCGAGCACATATTATTCCGCATAGACCGCAAAGAATCGCCGAGATTGTTTTCTCAAACTCGAACGAACGATACATAATAATTACCGTTTACTTTGTACGTTTGTACGGTGAAAAATTTAATTGGACTAAAAGTTAAATTTTCCACTCACCGGTGACAGGAGCCTCGATGTCTATCATGGTTTTCTCCGAGCGTAGAAGAGCGGCTCCATCGTTGATTATACGAAGAGCCGCAGCCTCGTCGATCCTACCCTCGAGGATAAAGTGTTGCTTCAGGACCTCCGGCCGCGGAGATCCTGTTCGCTCGTCAAAGACTTCTGCCACTGTCATTTTGTGCGACGGTGGAAACGGGACATCTGTTAACAAAAAGAATGCCGTGGAGTTAGAGATATATTCTGGAGCAGTGTATCTGATCAAATTTTCCTTGAGAAACAAATCTTATAAAAATATATAAGCACTCAAACAATATAAAGATACGCATGCATCATCAAGACATTTTGTATTTCTATCTTAATAATATATTTTGTCAAAAATAATTGTCAAATACATAAAAGAATCCTATAATCGCGATTAAAGGGACCGCGATCTTTTATAGACGCTTCATAAATTTCTCTCAGCCGTCTTGGCACAAGGAGTAGGTCATTTACCGAATGTCGCGCGGCATTAATTACACCCGTGCTGTTTGTCATAATTTCACGTGACAATTAACGCCTTTTTACGAGATACGAGCGGCGTTACAAAGCGATTTGTCGCCTAGATAAATCGAAGCGCAAATACGACAAGCATGCCTAAATATTGATCGAACGACTTTGCGAGCGAAGCAAAACACTGTGGTCGCCAACTAAGAATTGATGTGCGCACGTTACACGAAATAAATATGTAAATGTTAAGATGCGTAATCTTTTTCTCTCTTTTGTTTTCCTGTCTGTTTTCTGTCCACATGATTTATGATTTCGAGTTCCCTCGCGGTCGTTTTAAATCGCGTTTCGCATTCGCGAAAAATTACGTAGCGAACCAGAGTTCGCATTTTCATTTTTGTTGCATGAGAAATGTAAATATATAAATACATATGTAGTGTATGTGCTTTACTCGCGCTGTTTTCGCGCTGTCGCGGAAAAGCATCATTGAAAATCTGGAATGTTAATGAGATCAATGATGCGCGATTAAAAAAAAAAGCAGTTATGATAAAAATGCTTCGCGCATTTAATTTCAGATAATTACGTAAGATGATTGTGTAATACTGGCGCGATATTCCTCCGTGACGTTCAAGATTACGCAACGTAAAATTATTAATCGCGCCTGTCGCGCCTTGCGCGATTTATCTTTACTTAAGTGTACGCACATACGGTCGAGGTAGCAGCTGAAAAAACAGCGTTGTCGTATATAAAATCCAATTTTTGTTTCAATTATGAACCACTCCAAATCAAAAAAATTTAATAATCATAATAATGTTTTCTTCTTGGTCAGAGTTAATTTTAATTGAAGAATATTTCAAACCACATAAATCGATCGCTGACATAAGGGGTGTGTATCTTATTTTTTTCCATCAAAGTGTCTCGAATTCTAATATCAAACTTGTTAAAATGTGTAATAAATAATAGCGAAATATTCCGGTTTGCGTGAATCGATAACAATTCAAAGGTAACAGGTGGGCGACAACGAGGCACCGCGGATCACAATATCTCGTAACGTTAGTCGGGCCAATGCAAAAACATACGGCGTTCAAGGTCGGAATCGTTGTTATTGCTGCCCGACACGCCATAATCATCGATCCCGCCCCAAGGTGAAATCGCGTTACCTGGTATAGCTCTTTCGGGTATCTGGACCTGCTCGGTTTCCTTTGTCCTCGTGAGGCGTATCTTAAGAGGCGGACTTTTCCATTCTCGATCATTCGTCCTCAACAATCTTCTCGACATCGGTATTCTAGTACTTTGTCCCTTCATAATTCTCTTAGTCTCTTCAACCAATCGGTTTGACGACGATGGCGATGTCTTTCTCGGGGACCGAAATAGCCGAAAACAACCGCTCTCTCGCTCTTTAGTTGTCATTTTTTCTACACAGCGACGCGTCTGAGCAACATTGATATGATACTTATTATCAAAGGTGGCCGTTTCGTTTTCTTTCGCGGTACTAGGCTGATCATGCGATGCCGTTATCGAGTCGTCGACTCTGCGAGTCGACTGTGCGATCGCAGAATCACAAATCTCCTTCGCTTTCGTTCCTGCGAGATCCGATGAAATTCCATATTCCAAACTCGCAGAGCTTTGCGTTGACGAATGTTGATCGACTGAACTGTTGTCGAACGTCACGTTTGACAAATCTATGTCCGTCAATGTTGCTGTCTGCGTTCTTGACGTTATGGGCGAATATTTAGATAAAGTGATGTCGTCGCGATCGAGGCTCGACTTCTTCTCCTCTGTTTTTCTTTCATATTCGTCGTGCAAAATCTCCAGATCGACGTTTGACTTGGGCCTATCTTCCACATTCACGACTGTCTCTGTGCTTGATGATGATGATGATGAGGCGGATATACGCTCGGGTTTCGGCGTAAATAAGCAAAGCTTATCCATCCGCGCGATCAACGACATGTCGCACGTAGATGTCTGCAGGGTATCATCGTGAATATCATCTGACATGAGCGGCGAATTCTCGTAAGGAGTTGAGGGGTCGACGCGCCTCCATTGCAGAAACTTCTCATACGACGGCGTGCAGTATTGTTCTTCAGATCCTTCTTCAGACTCCCGCTGGGGTGTTTTCTCCAGAACGCTTGATTTAATCGGCGTGAAGCACGTGTCCTGCGGCGAAACATTCTTGGTAGTGACCGATAAGTTCTCGGGGCTAACGTAGACGCTTTCCGCAGAGTCGTCTCCCTTGTCGGATATAGAAACGTCCTCTTTATCCGACATGTTGAAAATATTATGAACGATTATTACGAGTACTTTCGTCGAACGCACAAACTTCCTCGTTTTTCACTAATGAAACAGATAAGCATCGATTCTTGAGAAGGAAGTCAAGTTCGCTGGCCATTCGCGTTGCGACATCGAAGTCGCAGAAATCCATCTGATTGGATAATGTAATCGATATAATCGATATAAATATTCGTGCATACCAGGAGATGGCGACATGTCTCGGAAGCCTCTGAAACGCGTCTTATATAAAAATCTTTCACACCATTCGTTTTATTGATCGCTTTTTGAAGTTGAACGCAGAAATCTTGGACTTCGATAATTTTTTATACCCGAGATTTTTCTAAATGATTATTTATTAATGATATTAAAATAAATTATTTATTTCTAGTTGTTACTTTAAAAGTTTCGGAATACATATAATTATTTTTCAGTGTGTTTATTACGTTAGAATCATACTCGCTACCGGCTTACAGCAGATGTTACTATAGATGCGCTACTCTATATACAGAACGAACACTAATATAAACAAAGTCGAGCGTAATCACTCAACTAAAATGCAAAACCCATATATATTATGTCATAATATTATTATAAGCATGATAAATATCAAATAAAGATGTACACAGATAATATCTATTTTATTAGCTTTTTTTATTTTTTGTGATGTGCGTTAATTAGAAAACCAATAAAAAAATATCAGTAAAATTTGATCTAAATATCAATAATTTTCTTAAATTTAATTATTAGATAATAAAATAATAGAATTATATTATTAAACACTTTAAATACTTTGAAAAAAAATCTGCAAATTTTAATATGATCAAAATATCCTTTTAAATGTTATTTTGAGAAAATAACAGAATTAAAATATTGTATATCAAAAGTTCCTAAATTTAATCAATTTATTAAAATTTGGTTAACTTTTCCATTTTAGATAAAAATACTATTTTTGCAATTTCATAACCATTAATCCTGCAAATCTGCTGTCACCGCAAAATCAATTAATGTACTTTAAATAACTCGAATAATAAACAGACTATGCGAGCCGACGTGGATGTTAAGACAGTGAAAAATTAATTTTAAAGTAATATTGTTCAAAGTACATAGTCTTAGTAAAGTGCTAAGCAAATTTCATGGCTCATGCAAAATTATAAGACAGCGGAAATTAATTTGCTTAGCACAATGTTAAGACTATGTACTTTGAACAATATTATTTTCGATCAAGTATAACTAAATACATACAAGCAATCTGTTTAATTAAAAATGACATAAGTTATTTATTTATATTACATATATCGCCAAATCTCTCTCTCTCTCTCTTTTATGTGCAATTTAATTCAAGAAAAAAAAATAAAAATAAAATAAAAGTGAAATTAAAAGATAACGTTATCGAACAATTGCCAATTGCGAATTTAACGATTCTCTCTAATAGCTTTCACCATCCAGTTATTCTCGATCGGATTCCATAAAATGATCGGATTCCTCGCTAATACCGCTGTCTCGCGAAGCGTTTCGCGATCTGCGCAAAGCCGCCCATCTCATCCGGCGATTCCTATTGGACGCCATCAACAAAAAGTGCACCTCGGACACGTAGATAACTTCCTATACATACATATATCATTATCGTCTTGCGTAATGTGTGATAAATCTCGATATATCAGAGGACGATCTTCTTTTACCTTGTAACGCGGCGAGTCTACGATTTTTTCATCATTTGAATCGACAAATTCTTGATATCTCGAAAGTGCCTGCACCATCTGAGGCACCGGTGGTTCAATCTCTCTCGTCAGCGTCGTCTTCAGAGTGGGACTACCCACTCGGGAAATGACAGCGTGCGCTTTCGGGCTGGAAAAGCTCGCATCCAAGCGTTTTTAACAATGTAGATCGCAGGATCTTCGTTAGCTTTGCCGAAATAATTCGGCGAAGAAACGCGTCTGGTTGGTGTCGGCGATTTCTCAGGTGTCGACGAAGCCGATATCTTCATCATCCGCATGATCTTTTCGATTGCGGGACTTACGTTATTATTATAATTCGACTTCGGTCGGATTAATAAATTCACTTCCGAGACGAATGTCGTATTGGGCGAATCGTTGTTCTCGTTTTCCTCAAATATCTTTTTAGGTGTTTCAAACATATTATCGTTAAGCGTTTCGTACAAGAATTTTTTCGTCGTTGTTGGCGGAGTCGCACAAATCGGCGAGAAATATTCGGTCGGCGAAGATAGACATTCATTCGCTGCGGGGACCTCGCATACCGGCGAAAAATATTCCTCAGAAATCTCGGATAAGTTCAAGGAATTCTTGGGCAGACGTAACACGTACTTTTTATCGGTCATGTTGAACGAGCGCGATTTTCTTGTGAATAACCGTATATGGAACTCGTAAATAACGTTTGCTCGGCACTCCTCAACGTTAAATCGAAGATCCAAGTCACTTTGATGTTAAAACTTTTCAGATTTCCCCCTTCTATACTCTAAGATTTGAATATACTCTTGCGGAAAAATGCTCTTATATTCTATATGACATTCGTATAAAAGTTATGTATCTCAACTGAATAGACAAAAATATATAACATATTTGTCCCAATACATTCAAAACAATGTTCTATGTGGAACAAATATTGTTGTCATCTGATAATAATGACGTACAGATATAAGAACAACGACTAATCTAAACATTAGTTGCCTTGATATAAATCGATTTTCATGAACATAAATAAATACTCTATTTCTGTTAAATCTTTAATCTATAATAGTAACTTTACTGTGTTATTTAGATAGAGATATATAAAATTGGATACTGCGCAAAATATTAACTATAAATTCAATATTAAAGATGTTTCTATCAAAAATTATTTTAAAGTCAAATCGCAAAATTTCTTTCGTGTATTTTTATTTTTGTCATCCACTGTATATTAATAGTGAATTTTCATTACAAATATTTGCATATCATCAATATATATGATAAAATAAATACTATCATTTGTTATTTTTAAAGCACATTAAACACAAAGTTAATATCAGAAAAAAATATAGAAATCATATTGAATCGCAAAAAATATTTAACCTCTGAAATAATTTACATAATAAAAATATTCGTCACTAAATAGCAATGCAATAGCTTTCGCGAGATGTAAAATTAATTTTTGCCACATGATGTTTAAAAATAAGATGAAGAGTCAAAATTTATAAAGTATAATTAGTTCGCAACTTTAAGACTTTGTAGTCAAATATTTGCGAATATAATCAGAGATTTGATCAAAAGATCTAAGAATCGAGCAAGCACATTGTATAGAAGAGTTTGTTTCTTTGATCGAATTCTTCTACCTGAAAGCTACAAAGTAACATTATGATCCTTTGATCTATTCCTGGTATTCGTTCGAAAATAAAAAAAAGATCGATTCTTTTTCGCCATAAACACACTCGCCGCACAATTCTCGCTGTGTGCATCTAACGAAAACTAATGGCACGATACGAAAATACAACTCTTCCTGCATGATTCAGCAGTCTGTCTCGGAAGCAACAAAGTTCCATCCATCTCTCACTATTACTTTGATAAACTGCCTGCATCTGAATAACTGATTCATTGGCGTCGATATATGATACTTTTTGGTTATTAAAAGTTCGATGAAAAAAAAAACTGTTAAAATAGAAAGCATTTTTTTCAATACACATATTTCTGTATCGAATAATAAAATCTTTTTACAAAGATAATCTCGACGAATAAAGAGAATAATTGTATCTCATAAAGAATATAATTGCATCTCAAGAGCTTATCCTCGATTCAGACAGCACGCAAAGCATTCCTTAACTCATCTTACTAGAGAATTTATCGACTAAGTGCGGTTGTGAATCCAGCGGATGTAAGTGGATGTGGCGGACCGAGGGGAAAAATATAAATGCATTACGAAATCGGAAGATAAAGCAAGAAATTCTCTCGGGGCGGTAACCACTTTTTCGCGGCCTTTGATCTCTGTTCGGTACTCTCTCTATCTCTCTCTCTCTCTCTCTCTCTCTCTCTCTCTCTCTCTCTCTCTCTTTCTTTCTCTCAACATTACACTCGAAATTAAGCGGAAAAGCGATATATTCCCCGCGGTTTGAACACAACAACTAATTTGAATATTCAATCTAGGGAAAAGCTTGGGTAACCGATAGTTTCGAAAGTCGATACCTGGGAACTCGGTCGCCGCGCGAAAACTGCGAGGAAACGTTCAATCAAGACTATACAACGGGTGATGCTTTTACGTCGCGTATGTGCAAGAGGATAACGTACATGGGATCGTATAGATGTACGATCGCAAGGATATTAATTACGCGCATCAAATTGTGTTCGAGTTACTCACAAATAAGCCGCGAATTTAATATCAAATAACATGCTGCACTGGAGAGTTTCGATATTGGATATTAAAGTATCGAGAATATAATCAACTCTAATTTTGGGCGTGTTATTTTATCGTCATATCTAATTGCAAACTATAACAAAAATTCTCTCTTCTCTCCCCCATGCTTCGTACGATATTACAAAAATATTATTTTTGTTTTATTTAACTTTCTTAGTTTTTTTTATCGAATAACGGCAGTACTTTTCTTCGAATACACTGTAACGATTAATTTTACCCATCACTTTAATTTTGACAATTCGAGAAGCAGGTATGATTATTTATGTGTCAGAATGACAAAAAAAATAAGGAAGCTAAACCTTATGCAGTGTCACAGAAAATGTTGTGTTTGTTCGCGATAATATTTCGAATATATATCTAAAAGATCTCATTATGTAATTATATATATTAATTACATTCGACATTATCATAATAATACGTGAATTTCGTATGCCAACAATAAGCATATAACAGGCAATTTGCCATGAATGTAAAATAATAGAATGACAGCAATAGTCGTTTTCGTGCAAACAGTCGAAACGATCCGATATATTATAGAAATGTGTGTATACCTAGTATATTTTGTGTATAGCATAAATTAATAAAGAATTACTGCATTGGAGAGAATTTCCAATTAATGCAATCATGTAACATTTCTATTAATCTGTCAAGAGTATCCCAATAAAAAAATATACATATAATTCGATAGAGAAACTATAACGAGAATTAATACACTCGGGCGTTAAAATTTTTAATTGAATGCAAAATCACGCCGGATTAATAGAGCAGCTTGTTTTTCCGCCAGATCAAAACGCTTCGCAAAAGTTTACGCGGAATTTCCATAGTGTGAAATATATCGGGACTCGATAGATGTGACGAGCGTTATACATCCACCGCTAACGCATAGTAACGCGTAATCCTTTTAGAGTTTCATTACAACGCGAACAATGCGCAATTAACCCGTTGTTTGTTATCATTTCGCATTAAGTCGCGAATAACGAGGAACGTTTCCTACGCGTTCTGATCTATAATAGGAATTTGTTCTGGGGATGGGGAACTCTCTTTCCCTTCTCGGAGAGCGAGAAGTTCTAAAATAAAATAGATATGTCAAACATAAAATTTTTCCTTTAAAAAGAAACTAGTCGATTTGTTCACTGTTTTAATTATGCGATATAAAAAAAGAGTTAATATAGTAACAATAGTTGCCTTTTTATTTAAATTGAAAAAATAATTTATAGAAGCAAACATTTCGTGTGTAGATCTCGTAAAGATTAAGTGGAGGATCACTCCGCAGCGTCTTGCATTTAAAGCCCGATTCGCGCGAACTGTAATTATTGGATTCCCAGTGAGTTGAATGCAAACGAGAAATTTACCAATTACGGTGAACAATCTTCGGAGATTGAAATCTACCAATCAGGACCGATCACACTCGCCCTTCCGTGTGACGTTCCGACGATAATGTGTGTGTGTGTGACAACTGTTCGAATTTTCCGTATACTATCAGCGCCACCGACCGTATGATTGGCAATTTGATTTTGTCCAAAATAGCCCAAATGTAAACATGGCGAAGAGCCGTGTTGTGTTTACACCGTACGTGCGTCACTTCGTGTTTATGGCGCTAACTTTAACGGTAAATAGTATCGAGAATGTCCCGAGATATCATTGGTTCGCTTCTCTATGATTATATGCTCGATAGTCATTTCTCGTCTTTATAAACTCGCGCCGCAAAATTTATAATAATTACAATAAAACCGTTATATTTTGCAGAAGAATTTTATTTCGCGATATGTCATTTACATATGAGCCTTCCATTGTAGTCTCGACGGCGGCTTGCTAAATAACCAAAAACGCCAAAACCAGTTCCGCGACCTACTTGAGATAACTCGATGAACTTGGATTCGGGCCACGAATATTAATGCCCGAGGACATCATACGGTATATTACGAGTCTAGATCTAACTTTTATTTATATAATTTGGTTGACGAATGCGAGTACAGATCAATACGCAATTAATTTCCCCTTTCAAAAAAGAATATTAAATATTACGTTGATCGCATTAAAGACTTAAAGTAATTTAACCATCTCTATTTTTATTCTATTAAAAAATACGAATTAGAAATATGGTCAGAAATATCATTAAAAATATTATTATATCGAAATATATCACTTGCGAGACAAATGTCGAAACAGACGAGCGCAAAAGTTAAGTCACTGATAATCTTCCACAGTAATTTTTGCAATTTTTTCCTTCCTAATAAACTTGATATAATCCTATTATTGTAAGAGAAAGAGGAGAGAGATCACGAGTAGAGAAAAAGCGGGAAAAGGAGTCTATAGATGCGCGACGATCAATGTCGAACCGGAATCGATATGGTTGTAAAGCCAACCTTTTAGAATCCGCGACACAATTGACAGCGGATGCGACAGCTGCCATTTCCAGGCATACGTCGAAAGGAAAGTAGCGGGCTGACAGTGACTCGATGGACGTGAATGGATAAGCGGCCATTCGTGCCGACACGAAGACAAGAGAGCGAAACGGAGGACAAAAAAATCACCGCGAAAAAAAAAAATATAAATATACACACAACAGATGTAAGCGTGCGCGATACATTAATTAAAAAGCGCTAATTTAGATATAAATGTTGCAAGTGCAAATCAGACAATGATTTTAATGATTTGAGTTGCAAACCACATACACTTATCTCTAAATAAGAAATTGAAAAAAATGTGACAAATAAAACAAACAGAGAATCGAGAGAAACAGCACTTTGTGTAGCAAAGCTACATTCTTAATGCCTGGATGTTGCAATTGAAATCTGTGAAAGTCGATAATCGATAAATCGAGAAAAAGCATGACATCGCAAAGAAAAGCGAGAAAAAAAAACCCACGATGTGCAAAGTAGGAACAAAATAACGAACGGTGACTTCATATGATTTATAAATAATATTCGACTTCTATGTTCTCCGATGATTCATTACCGTAGATTTATCACGATTATTCTCGATCATTATCCCTAACATTTAATTGACCCGAACGTTCAGCTGCAGCCATTACTTAAACGAAGTTTTCTTTCGGAAAAAGTTACGTAAGTCGTACATATCCTCGATGTAAGAAGATGGAAGTAATTAATTACTCGGCGAGTGAATGAATGAATGAATAAACGACTTGGCCGTCGGCGGAACAAGTCT